AGATCAGTGCTTACCCAGAGTTAAGAGGGAGGAAGGAATAACTAGGTGGACCACAGGGGATTTTTAGGGCAGTGAACTATGCCATACAGTGCTGTAATGATGGATACATCTCATTAGATATTGGTCAAAACTCACAGAACGCACAATGCAAAGAACAAACCCAATGAAAACTAGACTTTCGTTAATAACAATGTATCAATATTGGCTCATTATTTGTAATAAACGTACCACACAAATGCAAGATGTTCATAATTTGGGGAGTGGTGAGTGCTATATGGGAAAGTCTCTGTACTTTCCATTCAGTAAACTACTCTGTAAGTCTAAAACTGCCTGAAAAAAAGTAATCTATTAATTTGTTAAGTATATTGTAACAGAATAGGTACCATTTTGAGTCAGTATTTCAGAAAACAGATCCTCAATTTTGAAAAGATGATTGCCTTAAAATATGGAAGTCTAGTTGAGAAAATGTGCACATATCCATACACTATGCTCCTTCCTAACACCCCAAATTTTTCAATTACCAAGGGCAGGCTGTTACCTGCTTAATAAGTATGGTGTAAAATGCAATAGCATTTCATTAAATCTTCTCAGCTGAATTCCTAAACTCCTACATTAACTTGGGAAAATAACTGGTAAAAGATGGGAGCTCTGATGTTTAATAACAAAGCCGTGAATCCTAACAACATGCCTATGGCCAGTGATGATAAATGAAAGGTGAAACTGAGTTAGGCTTATAAAAAAGGCAGGGCAAAGTACATATGATAATGTATGTACATATGATATGAGTTTACCCATATACATTTGCACAGTGAACAGGATTTTATCAGCAATTAGTAATCCTGAAGAATCACTGTCAATTGATAGTTCAGTAAGTCAAAAAAAGTAAAAATGGGCCAGGTAGCAGGTACATAAATGATGTGGTCCATTTAAGGGACTATTACAGAGCCACTGAAATTGAGGACAAGAAAATGGTTGGATCTATCCAGTAAAACTGGATCGGTAACGTTAGGAAGGTGGGGTAGGAGTCTGCGTTTTTTGTTAAAGCTTTTTAGCCATTTTGGTTTTCAAACTATGTGCAAGTATCACCTTGATAGTGATTTCAGAATTTTTTTAGGATAGCTAAAGAATTATGTACCTAAACTTAAAAAAAATTGTTTATAATGTAACTTTTTTAAAAAGCAAGATTGGTGTTATATACATTACGATTTCATATGTAGAAAAAAGTTTGTTAAGAATATTAAAATCAAATTAAAATAGAACTAAAAACACTTTAACGCTTCTATGGTTGGTCAGTTTTTAATCTTCTCTTTCTCCATTGACAAAATGTCTACAAAAAGCTAGTGTTGGGCTGCCTGAGTGGCGCAGTCAGTTAAGCATCAACTTTTGATTTCCGTTGAGGTCATGATCTCAGGGTTGTGGGATCGAGCCCCTCATAGGGCTCTGTGCTCAGTGGGGAGTCTGCTTACTATTTTCTCTCTCCTTCTGCCCCTCTTCCACCCCCACTCATGTGTGCTCTCTCTCTCTAAAATAAATTAATAAACATCTTAATTAGGGGCGCCTGGGTGGCTCAGTGGGTTAAGCCGCTGCCTTCAGCTCGGGTCGTGGTCGCAGGGTCCTGGGATCGAGTCCCGCATTGGGCTCTCTGCTCGGCAGGGAGCCTGCTTCCCTCTCTCTCTCTTTGCCTGCCTCTCTGTCTACTTGTGATCTCTGTCTGTACTTGTGATCTCTCCACCCATAGCTCAAGGTAGCTCACTTTCAACACTAGATTGTACTGTATTCCTTTCAACAACTTTGTATCTGTGTGAAACTGGGTTTTCTGTGGTTACTGTGATAAAAAGGAAGTATCACATGGAACAGAAATATGAAGATAAACATGGAACAGAAAGTAAGGGTGGTGGTGTCCAAACATATTTCCAAAACTTGAGAGGCTGCACGACACAGGTATACACATCTTAAATGAGCACACACTTGTGTTCATTTAAGAATAACATAAAAATAATATTTTTTGCTTTCAGTGTGTGTACTGTTTTTTCAAATGGTACTAAGTTATTACAACAAATATGTATTAAGTTCTTTAGACCCAACAACCCAACAAATGGAACTCTGGGGTGTTTCTTCTGCTCTAGGATGGCCATGTAAAAATTACCATCAGTCAGGGTCAGTAATCTTTAAAACGTGAGCAGCAACAGATGGCGGGTTAAGACAGACTAGGTAGGTGGCTACGGGCTGAGCGGCGAGGCAGAAAGACAGCTGAGGGTGGGGCGGCTGGCCAGGCACACCGGGGAGGAGAGGCAAGGTCTCCTGGCACAGGAACCCACCACCTTGAACTTCATCTTGCCTACCCCGTTATAAGGAGAAGCCACTGACTCTTAGTTTGAATACACCAGGGGATGCCCCAATTAATCTCATAAATTTTGAAATCGTGGAAACAGCATGACAGATATTCTGTTGAATTTCCATTTTCCTTAATGAAATCTCCTTTTTCTGTGCATCCTATTCACCCAGGCTCAGAACCTCTATCATCTTTGTGACCTCCATGTCACACTTTATGCAGCAGAAACAACTCCCCACCAAGCCCTGTCCCTTTTGCAATATACATTGTGCTTGGTTTCAAAGCTTAGGAAAAGGCGTGGATCAGAAAAACTGTGTATTCCGGTGGTTTTTCCTACATGAGTCTTCTTTCTCTATGAAAACCTACATGATGTTAATTACTAACATCATAGCATTTTAGGGAAAACTGACTAGTCCCTACAGCATCAGTCCGTCCCCTACTCCCTGCTCATCTTTGCAAATGACATCATCTTTGTGTCCCTCTCTATTCAACGTTCCTCAGACCACCTTCTAACATTTCACCATTTCAATGAGTTAATACATATCTGCAGGGCTCAGTTTTACAATGGCGATGTCCTATCAGTCATCCCCACCCTGCCCACTTCCCCATTTCCGTTTCTCTGCAGCATTATTACAAGAATTCAGATTACAAGATCTATTTTATCATCTGTCTCTCCTCTCAGGAGAGCAGGGATTTTTATTAATTCTGGACACTGGCATATTGCCAGAACAGAGAACAGGGCTGGGCACTTGGAAGTGTTCTATAAATGTTCATTTGTTGAATAGAGCACCCCACAGAACAAACACTCAACAAATGTTAGATGTGGGTTTACAGTCACTGGTGATACACCATCGCCTCTAATACTGCCATCAGCCCCACTGCCAATGCCAACAAGATAAAATCTTAAATATTTAATTTGCCACGCAGCCCCCCACAGCCTGGCAACAGTATACCTTGCCAGCACCTGTGTTACTCCCAACGGAAGGCTCCCTGATGGACACAGGTATGTATTGGCATGGCAGCCTGAGCCTGCCTTGATTGGCATCTTGGCTCTTACCCATACGAGCAAATCCTGTGTACCCTCCAAACCCTAACTCACGCCCCATCTTGCCTGATCCCCTCAGAACACATCCTTCTCTTCCTCTTCCAGTTTGGAACTTAGGTGCAAGCCCCAAGACATCTCTTATAGTACTATTTGATATTGGTACCTAACTCTTAAATTGCCTGTCTGTGAATGTGTGTAGAGCTCTCCTTGCTAGACTAGAGACTCCTTGAGGGCAGAAACTCCATATTCTGTTGTAGACACCTTGCTTCCACCACCCAAACTCACACAGAACCACTACCCAGTTACTGAGTGAGCAATAAAACAACATTTACTGAATTAAAGCTGAACTTAGAAAACCCAATCAGAAGCACTTCTCTAAGTAAGACTAATTACCCGTATTTTTTTTAGTTTTTAATAGGTGATCAGTAAATGTTAGTCCCCAAAACTGTTCCAATTTCAGACCTATCTAGACCGTGAAAACAACCAAAATGCTCTCATTAACTGGGAGTCTGTGACCATTCAAAGAATTTGGACTGTAAATCTCTCCATTAAAAAGAGAATTTTTCTGAAGTGAAGTAGCAAAGGGCTTTGGGATGAGGAAACCTGGGTCCAATCTGGTTCCTCTATTTATTAATAGCCATATAAACATCAGCAAGTTACTCAATTTTTTTTTTTTTTAAGATTTTACTTACTTATTTGACAGATCGCAAGTAGGCAGAGAGGCAGGCAGAGAGAGAGAGGAGGAAGCAGGCTCCCTGCTGAGCGGAAAGCCCAATGCGGGGCTTGATCCCAGAACCCTGGGATCATGACCTTAGCTGAAGGCAGAGGCTTTAACCCACTGAGCCTCCCAGGCGCCCCAAGTTACTCAATTTTTAAACTTCATTTTCACTTTACTCGTCTATAAAATGTAAATAATATTCCTCCTTCAAGGGTTGCTGTGAGGATTAAACGAAATAGCATCTGTTGAATGCTTCTCCCAAAACAAGTAAACAATGTGTTACTTCCCGTTTTCCCTCCCTGTCCCCTAAAACAAGGAGGGCCAGATTATAGTGACATTATCATACTTAAGCGAAGAACACCTCCTGCAACCTTTGGCACAAACAAAATTGTTAAATAAAAATTGCTACGGAGTCTTCCTGAGTGTGGATTCCACTCACAACTAAAGCCTCTCCAAGTTTCACAGTACCCTAGATAACTTCTAATGAACTCCCTCATCTCCACCTCAATTCTTACCCTCCGTGTGCTTTACTGAAATCTAAGTGGCCCAGACTGCAGACCTGCCCCCAGCTCACACGGGGCTCCCCTCAATTAACCTGCTAAATCGCTTTACTGGACTTAACAGCACACACTGACATATTTGGCAGGAAAATGAGTTCTGTGTTAGCGGATATTTCTTTTTCACTTGGCCTTGGCTCTTCTTGGATTTTGTCACCAAGCAAGTAAGAAATGAAGAATTCGATTTTTCGGCTTCAAGGTGTGTTAGACGGAAGGGCAGAAGAGGCAGGGGAGCAAAGAGGGGGCACTCAGCCGTCACTCATGTCCTTCATTCCCCCAGCAGCACACAGAGTTAGAAGGGCGCCTCTCACCAGTTTCTTTGCCTTGAGAACCACATTCCAAACCTACCTCTCAGCCAAAGTGTATTCAGTTACTTATCCAAGCTGGCGCCCTCTCTCTCCTCACTCCCCGTTGCCTCTTGGATGCCTCCCCAACCAGCCTCATGCTGAGCAGGAAAGGGACTCATGACAGGCAGATTAGGGTTTTCAAGCAGCCCCAGGAGGAGGAAGTTACTTGTTCCCACGGGCCTGGGTTTTTCTTTTTGTGGGTGTGTTTTCTCTTTCTGAAACCAGGAAGCTAAATTTGCCTAATGGTTAAACCCAAAAGGATTACAGATTCTTTCTTCAAGAACTCTCAGAGGCCTGTTGTCCATCCCTGGGTGTTAAAAGCAGTCCATTTCCAAATCACCCAGGCAGAGGGGAGGTTGTCTAGCCTCTCCAGTGAAGTCTCTTCTATTCCGTTATTTTTATGACAGGCACTATAGCAACAGACCATTCATATTTATGTTTCCCATTCTCCTCACCAAACACTACACAACATCTCAATTTCCTAAAAAGGACAAAATTCAAAATTTCATCCCCCCACCCCACCCCCACGACTTCTTTCTCTTCTTTGAACTAAACTACTTTTAGGTTCAGGCTCTCCCTCACTCACATTCTTCACATTTCCGTTAATGAGCCTTGAACGCCCAGCATGTTCTGCTTTTCTTGCAATAATTGAGATCCTCTTTCTCGCCTAGCATTTTTACTAAAGATGTGTTCTCCCTTGACAACGTATCCCAACACTCAGCCACCATTCTGTCAGAGATGTGTCATGGTTGGCTGTTTGAACCTCCAGACGGGTGGAGGATCCTCACCACCGCCCCTGTGTGGTCCCACAGGGGAACGCAGGAGAGAGGCCCTCAGGATCTCGGCACTCTCAGCATAATGGTCGCCTTTGTCCAAGAACTGTGGGTACGGGCTGAGCTTGAATCCCAAGCTACTGGTCGACCTTGGGACGTTCTTCAACCCCTCGGTCTCCATTCAGTCATTTGGAAAATGAGAATATTGCCACTGTAGGTAAGGCCACTGTTAAGGACCACTAGCAGGCTCTCAGGAGGAGAGGGCTCTTGTCAATTTCATTCATGTGTGGTTATCTACAAGTAACTCCCTCGCTATTCCTTAATAATCCTTAATTCTTTTAAGCATATTTTCAGCAGCAGTGGTTAGTTAGGGCAACAAAGACAGGTTAGAGCACTCTGTCTTTGGTCTAGAAATGCATTAAGGCCACGATTCTTATTAACCTTGTCTGTGCCTTAGAACACAATGTGGGGGCTTTAAAAAATAAGTGCCCAGATCAGGTATGTCAGAATCTTTGGGGGTCAGGCCTGGGCATCAGTATCTGAAAATCTCCAAAGGCAGACATGTAAATGGAAGACTGGTAGGTGATGGTACATACAGTGAAGAAAAGACAGGGTCTCAGGAGAGGGAGAGTTGGGATGGTTGGTCAGCAAGGCCCATGTGAGCAGACCACGCTCAAGGTGAGGCCAGCCTTGTGAAGTCTCACATCTGGATCAGAGGCAGAGGAGTGGCCAGGGAGCAGGGCTGAGGCAGCAGCAGCAGGAGATCATGAGCTGGGCTGTCCAGAGGCCACCCAGGTTCCTTCCCACTGCAGCTCTGTTTGCTCAGCGTTTCCTTCGGTTCTGGACAATTTTGGGCAATGTCTCTCAGCTTCCTTCCAATAATTCCCCATTTTTGCTTAAGCCAGCCAAAGGAGGTCTCCATGGAAACCCAACACACTTCTACTAAGACAACAGGTTATTCAGTTTAAGTCAGTCTTTTTTATGTAACCATCTCTGACAAACATGGAACTTCAAATCAATATATTTGGGAGGAATTCGTTAAAGTCTCGACCACTGAGCATCTCAAATACATTCCTTAACTGTTTCTGGACCTACACCATCTCCTCATTTGTAAAACACATGGGTCAAACAAAACAGCCATCTCTTCCAGCTCGAGTTTTACCCATCCATGAATCTGGTATCTTTTTCATTTGTTGAACACATTAGAAGAGAGACACTGGAGGCATAAATATTGTAAGACATGGCCATCTCCTAGGAGTCGAGTACATCTTCATATTAATGGAGGGTAATTACCCAGTGTGTGCAAACTTAGGAAACTCTTTTCCTTTCCTTCTTTCTTTAGTTCACATCATCAGCCCATTAACACCAGCTTCTCCTTTCTCACTCCCGCAACTTCGCATGTTTGACAAAATGTTATTATTAGTGTCTCCGGCATATCAAACGTTTAAAAGGGCAGTTTCAAAATAACAACTCTCCCTGACCTTAACCATCACCCCAAGTTAAATTTTTATTTTTAAATTTTCTCTGATAATTTGTAAGTCTTCTCTTTGATATAACACACACACACATGCCTGCACACACACTGCCTGAGGCCGCATTTAATCATTCTGCACAGTTTCCAGAAGGGTCACTATATCCACATTCCTAGGATAGAGCCAGAGAGAGGTCGGTCTGTGCTCTTCTCTCACGGGTGGGGTATTGGGAAATTCAGCACATGATGAGGGATTTATATCTTCCTTCACATCTGGTGCTCAGGAATCATCATCAAAGACAGGATACCCATCTAGAACAATTGTTCCAGGGTAAGAGTCTACACCATTGCCCTGTGATGTAAATACAGTTCTCCACTGCTCTGTGATCTACATTTTGCCTACATCCTTCCACACTGGTCTTATGTTTGGAAATCAGGTCTTGTGTTTGGAAATCTTATGTTTGGAAATCAAATTCACCCAAAGTAATCTGATGAAGTCTAGAAGAAAGAGATTTAGCCTTAGAAGCACTATTTTTAAATGAAATAGGACTGTTTCATAGTATACACTGGAAACATAGCCTCATCAGCTGCAATTTACTGATATTAAAAGCACATTAATGTTCAACACACCCAATATTTCTCTCCAACATTTTCCCTTTCTGCCCTCAAAAACCAAAATAAAATGTTTCTTTAAAACCAGTACTTCTTTAGCCAATGATTGACTCGATAAAATCTTTTCTCAAGACTTAGCTAACAAATGGGACTATCACAGAAATAATTTCCATAAAATAGAATTACCAAATTGATTTGCTCAAAGTGTTATGTTTTCCTGAACCTAAAACACTGTCGATTTTTACATCATTATATTATGTACTGTTAAAGAAAACAAAATAGGGGCACCTGAGTTGCTCAGTTTGGTAAGCATCTGACTCTTGATTTTGGCTCAGGTCATGATGTCAGGGTTGTGGGATCGAGCCCCGTGTGAGGCTCCACACTTCCTGTGGAGTCTGCTTGAGATTCTCTCTCTCCCTCGCCCTCTGCTCCTCCCCCTGCTTGTGTGGTCTCTCTCTCTCTCCCTCCCTCCCTCTCAAAATAAATAAAATCTTAAAAAACAAAACAGAATGGCTACCCTTCAAATTATTAAGATGCCTTTAACTGAGATTTCAGAGGTATTAAAATGTAAAAATATGCTTGCCTTAGAGCTTGTGAGATATAGTAAGTACGTGCTTACTGAATATCCACTTATTTTAGAAATCATAATCCATGTTCTGCTTTACCCTTACATTTTTCTGGTAGTGCTGCTTCACATTCTTTTTAAGTACAGAGAATTTAATTATTATTAAAGTAAATTTTAATAAACTTAAGCAAGAAGGTCTCTTTTTTTCCCATTTAATGGTGAAATGAGTAATATTTCAAAAGCCTGCTGCCTGGTTCATGCAGGGTAATCGTATTATCATCATCTCCAATCCATGAGGAACTTGTTTTCCCACCTAAACATTGCTGCTGACCACACCTGAGAAAAGTTAACATCTATCTAACGCTTGCTAGGTACCTGGTACTGCGTCAAGCACTTTACGTGGATTGTTTCACTCAATCCTTAGAACAATCCTGCGGATACTATTATTCATCCCATTTAACAGATGAGAAAGTTGCAGCTCAGAGAGGTAAAGAGACTTTTTCAAGGTGACCAAAACAGTAAGCAATGGAGCCAGAGTTGAGACGTGAGCTGTTAGGTAAGCACCATCTGCTCTCTGGGGTGTACTGCAAAAAAAACTCCAAGAGTCCTCACTTCAGACTACAGAAGTGAGGGCCACTGGGTGCCACCATCCTCCCCAGGATGGCTGCACACTGTGAATATGGTGTGCCTTGGCCTCTGGGTGCTGACAGGTAAAGGGTATTTTAGGGGCTGGAGGGAGCTGTTGGAGCAGAGACCCAGGGCCCCAGGCCTGTGACTGGCAGACGTCTGCAGGAGAAAGAAGGAGAAATTAGAGAAAACACCCGTGAAGTTGAGGGCAGAAATGGGAAGACACCATCACCCATTTGAGAAATGTTACCAGGCCCCACTTGATGCTTTATAGAGGAAAACAGAATCAAAATTCTTGAGCTGGAGAAGACCTCTGAAAGGTCAATCGAGACCAGCAAGCTCAGGACTTCCTGGGAATGGGCAAAAAATGCAAATACTCTGGCCCAACTGGGACCTTTGGAATCAGACTCTCTGAGTGGAGCCACAATCTGGGTTGGGAAGCCCGGGTGGCTCAGCCATTAATCCGCCTTCGGCTCGGCTCAGGATCCCAGGGCCCAGGGATCGAGCCCCTCATCGAGCCCCACATCAGGCTCCCTGCTCAGTGGGGAGCATGCGTCTCCCTCTCCCACTCCCCTTGCTTGTGCTCCCTCTCTCGCTCTGTCAAATAAATAATCTAAAAAAAAAGGGGGAGGGGCCTGAGGACATCTGGAATCACAGAGTGAAACTTCACAAAAGATCCAGCAAAGACCGTAAGAGTTACAGCACCCAATTCTAGAATGCCAGAGACTACACAGCCCCAACACAGTGTGATAGAAATTAAATAAGACACAGACAGAAGGACAGCTAATAGATAGTGCTTTAAGACAGAGTATGGTCTCAGCCATCAACCTGCGGTTAGCATAAGTATCATAAAGTATAATTTTTTTATCTAATTAACAAACCCATTACTACTCTCCCAGTCTAATTGGACTTTATTAAATTATCCTAATTCAAAGCAGGTGAAACCTCAGGCATACAAGCAGATGGCGAAGAGCCCACCTTAAGTTTAACTGGCCCTGATCCCACTGGAAACAAATCCATTAGCATTGTTCACCTTTTCTGCATTTGTTTGAAAC